AATTAGCATGGTAAGGGCTTTTCTGAAAGGCTGTGACTAGTGTTTCAGCACTAGAATGTGGTATTATTAATGGGAGCGTGAGAGATGCTCTGCTTCCTAATGGCACCACGTCCCTACTGTAAGAACTACTGCAAACAGCTCGCGGGGCTGAGGCCATGGCGCAGACTCTCAGCTCTAAGTCATCTTTAGCAATTTTCTGCCATTTGCCTACTGTGTGAATCAAAGAAATCAGTACAGGGTACAATGAGGCGCAGGCACGCAAACAAATAAAAAGGAACAGCAAAAAGAAACCAAGACAGGCTCTTATTAAAAATACTCCAGAGTCCTGCAAAAAGTTTATGCAAAAAAGCCCAAAGGAAGGACTGCTGGTGCGGCTGCTGCACGATACACACCCAACGTTCTCAGCGGTGCTAAACCATGCTCCTCTAGCTTACGGCTCAGATACCTTCATGCATCACCCTAAACAGTGACCATGAGTTTTCAGTTCTTCACCTTGTAACAGCACTTCCCAGCACGTGCAAAGAGCAGCAGAAAAACACAATGAGAAGCCGCACCTCAACCAGGCCGCCACCCTGAGCAGCTGCCACCCTGTGCAGCCACCGGCACAGCTCACCAGGGACTCCCGTCTGCAAATGCACACACTTTTGTAGCACATTTAAATTAGAGAGAAAGGATAAAGATTAAGGTCATAATTAGTAAAAATTGAATATAGAAATTATTTCCTACAAATTTAGTTCTAAGTTTATTTTGTCCTTAAAACATACCATCCCTGCTAAAAGGATTATAAACAGGTATAAATACTTAGGTGACAATTTGGCATTGCTAACAAAAATTCACACTGCACATGGGGGCGGTCTCACTTAAGTGGCCCAGGCCAGCCTTGAATTTGCCATTCTCCTGCTTCAGCCTCCCCAGCAGCTGGGACTACAGGCACACACCACCCCACAGAGCTCACACATATGCTTTGATCTGTCAGTTTTACTTTGAGGACTCCAGCCTATAAAATTTGGGGACGTAAAGGTGAAAGATCAAGCCAGCTATCACAGAGGACACCACAAGGAAGAATGCACTAAACTTACGTCTACAGACACACAAGACCTCTAAGACTCTATTCAGTGAAAACATGCAAACTGCAAAAGAACAAGTATAGAATAAATGTAAAAGTAACATAAGTGAAACTCTGTGTGCATGTGCATGTGCCTATGTGAAGAGATGTATGGGAAGTGAACGGGAAGATTCGTCCCGAACACATACGCACCAGAAGCTACCACCTGGGGAAAGGAGGGATCAATGTGTGGGGTCAGCATAAATTCAAAGACAAATGAAGTTTTAAGAAAGGATTTTTGTAGGGAGCTGCGTGTAGCCGCAGGGGCCTCGAGGAAGAAGAAGGCTGATGTAACAGGGCAATAAAAGCTGCGCAGACACAACCAGTAGTCGCGTCTTCCTTGCTGGCAAGGCCGCGTGCAACAAGTGGTGCCGAAACCCGGGAACTGCAGTCCCGTTGCTGGTTGGAGCCCTGCACAAACGGTACCAGTAAGCCCCGAGGTAAGTGGGGTCCGCCTAGAGCGGGTAGTAAAACTCGCGCTCCCTAATTTGGGGGAGCGGGAGTCTCACCTAGAGTGAGGACAACCCAGGTAAA